GCGCCCCCTCCGCGCCTCCACCCGCCGCTCCTTGTACCGACGGTTCTGGAACCAGACCTGCGGCCAGGCTGGCATCAGCACCCACCGGGGAGGGGGGACCAGGGACCCCTCTGGCTTGGGGACCCCCCCCCCAAAGTTTGGCTGGGGAAAGGGATGGAAATTTTGCACCCACCTGGGAGGGGATGGGTTTTCCCACCTCTGGGTGGTTTTTAATGACCCCCCCATTGCCAGTAGCCCCAAAAGGTGCATGGGGAGGGGGGGACACCCCAAATAAAAAGGCTGATTAAAATCCTCGCCCCCCCAGCTGCATCCCCCTGTGGGCACCCTCAGCCTATCTGTCGCTATAAGGGAGAGGGCAGCCAGAAAATACAGGAGGGAGAATTTTCCCCTATGGGTGGGGGAAAGAAGGGAGGAAAAGAGGGAAGGAAAAGTGGGGGGAGGAACTCTGGATCGCGCAGAAGCAGGCAGAAAGTGGGGAGCGGGGAGGTGAGCGCCTGCTGCGGCGGGCAGGGAGTCAGAAGGAAAGCCGGCCGGTGAGGATGGAGATAAAAGGGAAGGGAAAGACACGGCCGCCTCGCTACGGGGCATCGCCTCAGCCGAACCGCACGGCCTCAGCCCACGCATGCCTTTCCCCCGGCCTGGTGGGCATCTGGATGATCGCCCCACTCCCACCCGTGTCCCCCAGGGACGGGGCAGCTTGGGGGAACGAGCACGTTGCGCTCCTCCGGGGACTTCTGTTCCCCTCCGCCGGGAGCCGGGATGCTCGCAGCTCCGCTACCGGCAAAGCCGGAGAGTCCTCCCCTATTAATGCCTCTATTAAATTCCATTAATCCCTACTTTTCCGCAGAGATTTTCTTCACGGGGGCAGCACGGTAAGAAAGTGCCGGACTGCCTGCAGAATGCAATGGCTTCTCCTTGCTTTCGCAAGGCCGGAGCATCCGTCTCCCGGGCACGCCGGGGAATCCTGCTCGGCCCCTGGGAAGCTGTGCCGCTGGCTTGGCGAGCGGCAGCGGCGGAGCGCGGCCGGCTCACGATTTGGGGCTGGTTTTCACCTCTTCCCGCGAGGTCGGTGCGTTAAAGCGCAGGGTGGGGGATCCCCGCTAACCCAGGGGAGCGTGGGGTGGGCGCGGGGCTGGGCCTGGGGTGACGCTGGCAGGGGACGGATGGGGTTGGCCTGTCCCCGTTTCCCAGCTCGTGGGAACGGCCTCGAGGTCCCAACCCCTCTCCAGCACCCGGGGGAGACCGACAGAGCCTTGAACGACCTGGGCTCCCACCAGCACCCCTTCTCCTTCCCTCCCCAGGCGGGTCCTTTCCCTGTCTCTGCTCCGCGAGAGGAAATCGCCCCCTGAAGCTCTGATGTCAGAGGAACCGAATGACGTCGCTGGCCAGCCCGATGACATCACGCTGTGGGGTGGGGAGAACGGCAGGGGGGCGAGCCGG